TTGAACATGAAATCATTCGAAAGAGTGAAAAAACGTGAGCATAAAAAAGGAAAGAGTGAATAGTGATTTATCCACAACTAAATAAAAGGATATGAAAATATTCAAATCAATTTATTGTCCCAGTTTTTTGCATAAATGGTGATATTTCACCTTTGCTGTTAATCAGGGTTAGGCATTTATGCAGAAATAAGAAAATAAAGCAATTTAGTTTGTTGTGAATCATGTTTATTCACACCCCCTAATCCGGTCGCTCCACCTATGACACAGGGTTCCCCTTTTCGCAGCATGTCGTCAGCCGTGCGGATCCTCAGCTCCTTCCTCATTCACACGGATATTTATCCTGTATTATCATCACACCTAGGTCTCGATGTTGGCGCATGTATGACTCACACATCTGAGGCATAAATATACACGCACAAACCCCACACACGACACAACGACATCAACGTGGCTGAGTTCTGAAGCAAACGGTTGTGTCCACGTCCTCTCCGATCTTTTACTTCATCGTGGGTATCAGGGAAACGTAATCGGGCCAGGGTGTATTTCGTGGTCTCGGCGTGGTTCAGGGCCACATGCTGGGGCCCACAACAAGTTTGAGTGTTTAACACTCAGCGATGGGGTGTTAGTGCTGACAATGGTGTAGTGTGAACAAATTCGAATAACCAGAAGTCATAAATTTTGGTGTTAATAGGCTTGGTTAAGGTAGACATCCCCAATAAAACGTGAGTCAAATATGATGCAAGACTTATCAGTCCTGATAGATATGGGCTAACGGCACAAGCGATTTTCGTTGAGAAGTGTAAGTTTATTTTGCTGAGTTTTTGGGCTTGTGTGTTTTATTACCTAGCTTATATCAAGCTTAAAATACAGACAACAAAAGCTAGCGATGTTCGCAAAATATCTGTGAAATCAGAGAAACCTATTACAGTGACTGGGCAGATAGTTCTCACCAGGCACTAGCTTATTAACAAGGAACCGATACGTGGTTAGTGATAAGTTCATCACCAAAATGTGTCTGAGCACAATGTGCATGAAATTTTGTCACATTCGACCCATGTAAGTACCTGTAAAAATGACACGCGAGCGGATAAACATGCCATGATTTGGTGAAACGTGAAAGTCTACATCATATCAGTAGGTGTGTTTCGATTGGTTGATGTAGGTCGATCAATCGGATCAACTGTGTTTGTGCGCTTGCAGTCACGCGCAATGTCAGTGAAAGTCAAGTAAATAAAGCCGTCCTCTGAGTGCCATGCCGGTGGCCGCACAGTCACAAGCGACTATGGACGAATGTTAAAAAGCCTACTAGATTACAGATTCAAAATGCCGCAGCAATCTGTGTGGAATTTAATCGGAATTTTGATTATCTCTGGGTCTGCATCAGCTGTACAAAATGGGGTACGTTACTTGTTTATTTAGAAATTGAGAAAACGAATAATTGTTTTCCATTATGATAGCTGGAACATTTTCTTATGATTTAAATTTGATGTGGGGCAGTGATGGAAGCACCAGTAGTTTTGAGTCGTGGAAGCCAAGAGTTCGAACACAAACCTGTCCATCACACAAAATGTGTTCCTCAAAATTTCGAAAACAGCCATTTACATCAAACATATGAGCTTAACTACCGCAAGTGTACGATATAATGCAAGGGAAAACGTTTTCGATGGAATCAAATTATAACAGCTTGCATGTTAACTCGTATGAGTTTCGTTCGCTGATGGAGTAATACATAAGTTGCAGGTTTTGTAATTGGCTGTTGTACGTTTATACTGACTTTAAAAATAGACTTGAACTAAAATATTCCTGTTGAAGATTTTTTAACAAATTAACAAAAGATATAATTAGTATAAAGAATACGGTCTAGTTATGGGCTGGAATTTCTAGATTAAACTTTAAAGGCAAGCAATTTTTGCACGAATATCACCAAATTAACTTTTTTCAGATGCTTACTGTTAATAATTGCCTTTAACAAGCTAAGCATTTCGAGTGATTTACGTGTTGTACTAAATATGATGCACTCATTTTGATCTTAATTTTTTTTGCATCCCTGAAGTGGCGGAAGTTTATCCTTTAAATTATTCTCAAGCAATTGATCCAGTAACCTTCTTGGATCTAATCGTTATAGATTATCAATGTTTACTTTGGAAAATTCCATGCTAAGTAGTGTGCAAAATCAGTATCTAGTGTTAACAGTTACACCCATTTAACGACACAAATTGTTGATACAAATTTCGGTCAATCTCGTTCATTACAGCATTATCTTGATACTTTCACATTATTTTGTAAAAAAGGTTAATTAATGTTGATAGTTTTATTGCGCTTATAATTCAGATTTAATAAAGATAATTGGCCTTGTTTGTAGTTAGTTATCATATTAGACAAACATGTAAACCCCAAACATTTCCTGTAGTGTTTTTTTCGTAGTCTAACTGAAGATTCTTATCCTAAATCTGTCTACAACTCAACATGTTATTTCCCACAGGTAATGCAAGTTTTAAGTCAACTCAGAATCTTAGCATTAAGTAATTTTTTTTATTATGCTCGTTTTCGTTGCTGTCATTTTAACTCCCAAGTTATTAATGGCAATCGTGAAAATGGAAACGTTTGCGAAATTCGGTGATCAAAGTTTTTATCAATCACGCCTAACTATACCAACACCATGTGTTCAATTTAGTTCAATAACTTAGCAGAACAATGTCTTTTTACCTTGCAAGCATGATCTGATTCTTCACATCCTGCTCTTTACCAAAGCTGTGATCGAATTTGTCAAAGTTTATCAAAGCACGAATTTCAAAAATATAGCTAAATCCTACGAACTAAGGTTGACTTGCAACAGATTAAACGTGTTTTACAGTAGGTGATGCTGTTTAGCTTTGATAAGGGTACTGAGTAACAGGGGGTTAGATTCGTTTAACCGACTATGATCGAACACAAATTACACGGTGATCTACATAGTTTCGTGAATTTGACGAACAGAACTGATAAGCATCAGACTGTTCTATAGTAGTAGAAGAATAATCGGTTCTACTTATTAAAATAGAGTCATTTTTGAAATTCATTTTACTTCGTAATGACAAATGATTAATTAGAGGAGACTACGTCGTTTGATGGCGGTAGCAATTAGCGGCAACTTTCTGTGAAATCGCAGTTCCTGATTTCCTGGCTTACTTAATGGTCACCAAGACCCTACTTCAAAGTGCGTTTAAAAAGACGCAGCAGGCTGGAACTCTACCAAGTAACTCTGATGCTTAGATGTACGTGACGGATACTGTCAGTGATTTCTAGAAAAAGGTTAATCATGTTAACCATTTTAAAAAATTCACGAGCGTCAGTTTCATGCTAAATTATTGCAGTAAATATCTCATTTTTCAAAATTTGTGTCTATGTGGATTATTCTGGCACTGGCAATTCATGAAATAAAGGAGTCAAGCCATATACCCCAAATATGCGATGGAACTTGAGTATGATTCTTCAAAATGTAGGTTACAGTCAAGAAAATCCTACTACAAGTACTACTATCAGGCAGATAACAGCCATCGTTAGATCAACAAACACAAAAACGAGCCACCGTTCAGGACAGATACAGGACTTATATCCCTTAATTTGGAACAGTGGCTTTAAGTTGCCAGAGACTGAGTCTATGGCACTGGCTAAACCTGTTAACAGTGGGAACCACCGGGAAATATTTTTTCACTCAGAGGCATCTTTAACTTTTGGGTTTTAATTGTGCCATTAGCACCCTTGCCTACTCATTCGTGAGTTCAAGTGAATAAAAATTAGTTGAGTAGTTTTTTAATATAAAAGAACTGCTTGCCAGCATCTTGTTACTGACTAAAATGACGCGAGTAATTTATGGAAAGTATTTGGCATGAAAATCGAATTGCCCGCAGCGCAGCGATTTGGAAAGGAGTAGGCTAAAAGTAGCCATATTCGTAGATGTAATTAATGCTTTGAAATCGCATCCATGGGTTTCACTTCATTGGCAGCCGCAAAATTTCAGATACTAGATTTAAACGAGGAAATTGTTTTGTATCATTCCCGTAGATCACTTTAGATTTACTCTCTTGGCAACTTGTGGGGAATTATGTGTAGCTTCTCGCTCTATTTCCTTTATTCAGGTAAAATTGATCAAAAACATTTACCCTGCTTATGGTCCCTAATATTTTTGGAACTTGGCATCTAAATGAACTTTAACGTCAAAACACTTGCCTGATTTCTTATTTTAAAATAACAAGATGGCTCCAAGACACTAACTTGGTGGATCAGAAGGGAAACTTTACTACCGACCTCAAAGATGAGCAAAACGGTTGTTAGTGATCGCACCACAAATTAACTAGTTCACCTCTTAGCTATGTTCGTTCACAATTATCACGTTTGAAAGTTAAAGATCTGGGCTCCTCAGGGAAACTTTCTTTGTTAAAACGGGTTTCTTCGTGAAACACTAACGGCTGCCTGTACACTAAGGCTTGTAAGAATATTCAATATGCACTAAGTATCATCTTAACCCTTAAACTCGAATGATTTTGGTAGAGACTAAAACATCAAAATTGCAGCAGATAAATTTTACTTAAGAATTGCCAAAAAATGAAAATCATGTATCTAAACTGCAAGGCTAATTCTAAGTTGTCCGAGTTAACTTGGCAAAATATTTTAATATACACCAATGAATGACCCGATAAATAAAAAAGGATTCATACAAGGAACTCGCAAACAGAATTGTTGTCACAAACCTGATTATACCTTCGATTTTATTCGATTTTATTAAGCTTAACAGTGTACTTGAAAAACTCACCAGAAAAGTGACAAGAAGGGGTAACCTTGAAGTATTTATGTGTAGCCAAGTGAAATTCTCAGTTGCTGTCCTAAAAGTTATCCACTCAATTTTATTCTGCTTTTTTCACAACTTAGACATTGGTTGCGTACCTACAAATGTCACTATATTATATCAATCCAAAACATGAAGCTGTTGGTGGGTTCTGCGATTGGTCCTTCAATGATAAATGGTGCGATACCTATTTCCAAATCTGCCTTACCTCAATGAATTCGTAAGTTGTGCACTTTAGTATCTAACACTTGTACCAAGTTGCTCTTGCAGATGACGACAAAATGTTTCAATCTCAAGCCAACCAGAATTACTCATTTAAAATATCAATTGCGAAAAAAACAATTACATTTGTAGAAGATTGTCTAAAAGAAAGTTTTATTAGATTTCTCAAACTCAGAAATCGTAAACCCAATAACAACAAACATTTTACCGCATCTTTTTCTTAGTTATGCCAAAATAATCCTATCAAGGCTCATAACTGATATTAAAAAATCAATGATGCACATAACAGAACAAAATTGTAAAGTTGCCCGCAATTTTTAAAAGGCTTCGTTTACTTGCACAAGTTAACAAAGTTAATTCTGAAACCTAATATTTTACAGTGCAATTTCGTCTCATTAATTGGAAAATTTAACAGAAAGGGAAGTCGTGCTGCAAAATACCGTGCACTAAATCACCATTTCATTGTAATAAACAAAGTCGACAAAATCAATTCTTCTGCATGAAGCCTAGATACAGTGCAGTAAAACCAAAACGAACACCATCGAAACTACACCTGCCTGTCCTGTTACCGCCTTTCAGTCTTTTGTGCCTGTGAAAAGTCTTCATTCCTGATCAGATACTCATGGACACGCTTGATTGCTTGTTTCTCATTCTGACCCAACGCGATTTCGCATGAAGTGTGCTCCTCTAACACACCAAATGGCTAGCGTGTCATCTGTTTTCAAGTCAATCTTAAGAACTCAGATGTGTCGTCGAGTGAATTGTAAGACTCCCATTCTGCCCATCCGTGACGGTGCAACACATTCCCACAAAGTTTCGATCCAATGTCTCGACGTGACCTAAAAGGCCTATTTGAAGTTAGTGATGCAAGCTTCTATTGAACCGTAACCGAACGCTTAGATGGCATCACAAATCGTTACAGTTACGACGGCAACAGCAATCGGCACCATTGCGAAATATGGGACAGACGAAAATTGTGAAGATATGAAGAGCCCAATTTAACCACTGAATGGAACATCGCGGCACCTGTCCATGTGTTTGGACGTGTGGAATGCGTGCTACCGCGACTTTACCTAGGCCGATGCAGGTTCTGTTTCCAATACATCAGGGTCACCTAATTTCTTTCTTTGGTCGAAATGAGCAACGGCTGTTTGATTATCTCATGTCACTGGATCGCTGCAGTCCACTTTTCTTCTATTTCGCACTAATCAATTGGCATTTTCGCCAGTAGACTAATCAAAATAACATTCCTCACTCTGCGTCGTGATGTATCAGATTTTAACAGCGGTGGTTCGAATTGTACCTTGACCACATGGAGTTGAACCCACTGCAATGAACTTTGGCTCCTACAGAAACAAACGTTGCGTGCTGCACAATGGCAACTTAAAAATTCCTCGTTCTCGGGTCAACTATGTCACACATTATCGGAACAACGAGACTGTTTGTGGTCGTGTCATCGCCGTTGTCATGCGTAGAGTGCGGACACAACGTGAGTTCAATCGCAAAAGACAAAATTGCTCACGGTGTTAGTGGTAGACATAAATCTAGTTGGTTTTTTTACTGACGTCAACGTATGAGTGCAGATCTAGTTGCCCCTACTCCACAGTAGCACATTTTTGCAAACGTAAATCGACTGCTCAGGTGTTGGGTTAGAAAACACCTTTTTCGCATATCAGACCACTCGATTAGCCCATCAATCAGCATCAACATCATCAGCCTCTCAATAGCCTTGATGTCCTGCAGCCATCATCGAACAAGTGCTTTCCGTTGTTAATTTTGTGCTAAGCCATTAATCACTGGGTGAGTCATCGAGCATGCAAAAGAGTATTTTGGGTCTGGACAATTACTTCAAATTGCCTCACCGTGCAACTCAAGCCGCATTGCTTGGAGACGTCATTCCTTCTACTGCGGCTCAACTAACTATCTGTTTCAAATATTTTATACATTTGGCTTGAACAGAGCCTGCTTTATAGTGCGGGATCGCTGAAATCTTTAAATTGATGACTCAGGCGGTCGAATGATCTCAAATTCAACCGCAGGTATCAATGATTCCAGTTATCTTTTTTCGTTCGTATCAGTGTGGATGAGCTGATATTTTCCTCATCGTTTTGTAAGTTCTTCTGCCATGTTTCCGAATGTGATGTCCTCGTGGTCAAAGGCACTGAATAATTAGGCTGTTAGTATAAGGGATAAGGATGCCTCTCGGTTATTTTTATATTTTTTTATTCACCTTCTTTGAGCATATATACTTAAATAATGTTTGTTTTGTAAGATCCGAAGTGTGCAATCTTTATTCTCATACGACCGAAACTCATCACGACAAAACATACGTCACCTACGTGGGGGACGACGCATTTCAGATCCCGCTGAGACATCCACTGCCAGTGAGTTCTCCCAAGTTTTTGGGTGTGATGGTACAGGTTGAGTGCTTTGCTGACATGATCGTGCTCTTGCTTAAATATAAATCAAGCCCTATATATAAGTTCAGATTTGTTAATCCGAATACGACAAAATCCAAAGGTTGTTCTAAGGATGTTGATACGTAACTTGAAAGAAACGTTTTGCCACCACATCCTCCAAAGTCGTAGGTACTTTGCATTGCAGGCGTATTTTAGTGTCATTAATTTGATCAACAGGAGAGGATTACCCTCGAAATCACCGCCCTTGACACCGACCGTTTCACTTCTCATGACCTCATCGCCAAATTCGATAGTTATCAGATCAATATCCCAACACCGAATACGTCAATGGATGCTGGTCTCGTAAACGTGGATTCCACTGAACACAACGGACAAGTAAAGTATGTGTATTTGGTTTCCGGGACATTTTTAAGGAAATGATTACAGACGCAAATTTGCTTTGGCAGAAGGAACTCTAATTTTGACGTCGGTGACGACCTTGTCACCTATTTAGAGTCCAGCTGTTCAGATCTTTGGACCATCAACTAAAAATAAGCTTTACGACTACTCGCCTATCTTAGTCATACAGGATTTACTCCAACACTGGGTTGCTAAATTGATAAATGAGTTTTTTTCCAAAAGATGTTAACCTACTAGCACGCTAGGTCCAGGTCTTAGCTTTGTATGCAGTAACCAATCGTAAGTAAATGCAAAGAATGCGAATTCTAGATCCCAAAGTCTTCTTCTAGATTACAATGACAATTATGCCCTGATATTCTCAAACTTATTAGGAATGATTTTAACCTTTAACTAGAGCCTAACAATGGAAGCAGATCTTAACTAAGTAAGAAAAGTAAATTTTTAATATGATTAACCCCAAGCAGAAAATAAAAATGATTTTGAAAGAAAAGATTTAAATCCATAAGCAATCGGCACTTATTTGAAAATGCGAGCTTCTTTTTATACTCCGATTTTTATTGGCTTGATATGTGCTTTTTTCTTGTGAAAAGGATTTGAGTAGGGTTGGATAAATATATGACCGCGAAACATGGAAACGCCACAAAAGAAAGTAAATGAATGGTGAAGGATAATGAGGATTAACAACAACCTTGATCATATAATGAATTTTTTCATGGACTTTAATTATTGGCTTCACCACTGAACAAAGCTATTGAGCGTTTCCCGTTTACATTATACTGACTTGCCATTTGTCCCTGCCAAACTGGGCCTCATAATTCAGTGCATGGGCATACGATATCACTGAGACTCTGTTATCAGACAATTCACCTTTTCTTGCATCTATATAACCCTATTTTCTCATTTAGTATAACGGCGATTTTGACCCTTGAATGCAGCAAAGGTTATTATGGGGAATCGTGCTCTATCGAATGCTTTCCTGAGAAATATCCCAGCATGTTAGGCTGCCACGACAATGGCACAAGTATTTGCCTTCCAGGTAGGATGATTGCAATTAAAAAACTTTAATATTTGTATGCGATCTCCTGATTGATCAATGGTGAAGTTATTTCGGAATGTCCAATGCTGAGTTAGACGAAAACGTCGATTTCCCAGGTTTTTATCCGAATCTAAAATTAAAATTTGCAAAGTTCCGACGAAAAATCTCAGGTACTTTATGTGTTGGTCAACAAAGTAGCTAGTTTTATGACAGCAAAGATAAGGCAGTCCACGTAAACAACCACTGTGATTCTGATGAGTGCAGAACAATATTTTGTGATGTAAAAAAAGGTTAATTAGAAAAAAATCAAACGTTTGAAAATTGAAAATGGCAGTAACATATTGTGGCGGTTGACGTCTCTATTGTCGCGGCGAATTTAACGATTCCCATCAGAAGTGTAACATTTAGAAAGACTAAGAACAACAACGGCACTTGTGCAGGCCAAGAATAATTCGTTCTGGTTGGAGAATTTTCGATTACTTTCCAGCTTGCAATTTGTTTTGGTCAGACGACTGTTCTTGGAGTGATTCACTTCTAATTTGTCCCCGTGAAAAGTAACATGTGATTTGGACAGTTTGTGTATTAAACAGCTGCCGATATTTGAACAAGCACATTTGGTCAAAGTAAAGCGCACGGTAACGTCTCATTTGTTTATACTGGACAGGATTTCGAGGACAGTTTTGCGAAAAACCAGACGCATGTTTTTACAAGCCCTGTGTCGCGGGTGCAGAATGCCTGAATTTGGATACAATCAGTGGATATAAGTGCATTTGCGGTGGAACTGAAGGTACGCCTGAATTCATTAATGACAAAATTTTACTTACATAAAATTAATATGCGGTTTTTATTCTCGGGTTTGTTCAAGATAATATGAATTAATTTCTAAGTGGTAAAAACGATTTTTCGTTGCTATTCACGCTTATTAAATTGGTTTTTGCATGGGATTCGTCATGCTGCCAGACACGAGCATTTGCTAGGGATTTTTTTCGGTTGAAAGTTTGAAAATGGGATCTAAATGTTAAATGTTCCTGCCGTACCTCTTCAGAAAGTCAACATAAACCTAAGGTATATAGAAACAAAGCTTTTTAACGTCAGCCATTGATATGAAGATGCGTAGTAAGATTTTAGCGTATTTTGATTATTAATGATGACTCTGCAAATGAACCTAGTGTGATAATAAGGATATCGTCTTTTCGTCGGTCTGGTTTAAAGGCAACGCTATCAGCGGAAGTTTGAAACCGCAGTGCAGAATTGGGCTGAAAGACAGTGCTTGAAACGGATGATGGCTTGGATGATGGATAAATGCTAAACCTAAGTCCTTGTATACATGGAATTTTATTTATCTTAACCCCAACGTCGAAGTGCTTGGATAAAAACTGTTTACCTATCAAAAGAACTCCTCAGGTGTGATAATGGAAGTGTGCCTTGAACGCGATTCCTTTTACGAGCCTGACGTGCCCTATTGAAAATGAAGTCTAATTGTGCAACCTTAACTCAAGCAACCATTAATGTGTTACATCAATATCTGGTATCACTGTAGACAACGGGGAAATCTCCAATGAGTATGCAGTAAATGGAAAACGTACCACCATCACTAACTTTCTTTGGTTTTTCTCGGTTTGCAATGAAATTCGGGTAGTAACATGTGTCATATAGACTACTTTAAATGGAAATTCAAAATTTGTGGTTTTGGTATAGAGAAATACCTAAAAAATAAAGGTCCAACAGCTTTTGGTGTTTCTATTGGCATGTTTTTATGTGTCAGGAGCTGAAGCAGCAAACTATCTCCACTTTCGAAACTACCAAAAATCTATTCTGCTGCTAATTGCTCTTTTGAAGCTGAAAGCTATTTTAAATGCCTTAAGATGCGATTAGTCAGGAACTTTGTTCCCCTTGTACCCCAGTAACAAGTCTGTTAGCAAACCCCAGGGAGCCATGACAGATCCAATGCTGAATTGAACTGCTTTATGAGTATTTATATTGTCATTAAGGATAAATACACTTAGACCTATAATATATTAGCGAAGTGATCTATATGTGGAATAATGGGTGTGGACTTGCCCTCCTGCCAACATCACGTACACCGACTTGTAAATCTTTGCTACTAGACAAATCCCTTTCACCATAATTTCATTTCATTCTATCAAGTGTGAATATAAAGGAAAGAACATTGAGTAACTTGACACCAAAAAGACGTAATTAATGACCTATCAATGAAACCCTGTGTTTCTCATACTCCGACTCACCTTTGCCCTTGCAGGTGCGCAATGCTATGCTGGCTACAATCCCTGCGTCCCCTCTCCCTGCCAAAATCAAGGACAATGTGTTCGCACTGGTGAAAATCATGATACCTTTACGTGCAACTGTCCACTTCAATGGACCGGCAGGCTCTGTGATGAACGGAGATCTCCTTGTGAAGTGGCAAGTCAGAAATTGGCCAGTGCTGACCTGAAAGACCTCTTTGGATTACACAAGAATAGTAACACATCGGACATCGGAGCAGACACCATAAAAAAGCCGATTAACGTTTGCAAAAATGGCGGCATTTGTGTGGACTTGATGGAGGAATTCAAATTTGTTTGCAACTGTACCAGTGGATGGAAGGGCGAACTGTGTACAATTCCCGACGTAAGTCTAGTTTGAACCGTCCAACAAGCTTTTTTTCTTTGATGACCACCCAAATAAACACTACAAATCCAGGATGGCAAGATAGCCCTAGCAATTTGAATACTTTTAATTTTGCTTTCAGATTATTTTTTGTGCGACATTTAGTTGATTCAATACATTCTAGTTAAATTTATTTTTTTTTGCTCAGAACTTCGTTACACTCAGCCAGACTTCTTGCATGCCCACATAAGGACTATGTTCGGAGATACAAGGGGAGGTCAGAAAACAATATTGAGTCAAAATGGTTTAAAATATACTTCGGAATGTCGCAAATCAACTTTATCTGCTGACGCAACTAGGCGAAGCTTGTCCGAGCGGGTTTATTATGGGCACATTGGTGTCAATGACTCACCCCTGCTTTTCATTGGTCGTTGTTAGCAAGTGCCAGACAAACACGCTCACCCACCGTGCGCATAGCACGCACCACGCGCATCTGGTTAGCCTGACACGAATGAACTGTCCCGTTCACCGTCACCTTTCTGTTGTCGCCGTGAGTTCGTTTGAAGTTGAGATATTCCTCTCTTCTGGGAACAACGAGTACCCCCAGCACATCCGCCAATTTTTTCCTCTTACATTTCCAAAGCTTGATCTGGGTCTTTTCTGATCGAGACTCACTTCCACAATCCGAGGACTGCTTCTCAGTTCGTCATGCATTCACATGTTGTTCCAATGCTATCGACAGTTTACGCTGTTTAACTCATTTACTCACTTGATTAACTACTCTCCGAAAACCTGCGCTAAATTGTGAAGACTGTTATTCCCACAGGATCGATTAGCTCTAACGAGGTTCGTCTTCGGGGCCATAATTTTCGAAATCTAAGTAACCTACTCATTCTACTCTTGCGCCTATTGGTTGGCAGTTATAAGGCTTACGACAGAGTTCTTGCTTGTTTTAGGCTAAAGGCCTAATGGCCACACTTGCGCAATTACCTTAATTCGAAACTCTGACAGAACTGGAGAAGCCATCTGCAATGGCTGATAAATCTTGTATCTCTTTTAAGGAGTATGAATTTAGAACGATTCTCCCAGTGTGGGATCAAGCATCAACAATTTAGTCATGCTCGAATAGCGAGAATAAATAGCTAACCTCCCACTGAAAATGGGTGGACTTTCTCGTTGTTGGTCATTACGTTCGTAACGACATTCATCACATTTCCACCTGCTGAATCAATTTTGGAAGTGATCTACCCTATATTATTACCATTATGGCTGCAGTGACAATTCCCATACAGTCACTCTTAGACCATCAAGACATATTATGTACCTTCGGGAACCGACAGAACCGGCTGGTTACGGTGCCGAAGTTAGTGAAACTCCCCAAGACACAATAACTGCCACCTCGATACTTTCAGTCAACAATTTCAAGCCGCAAATAGTTCACACGTTTCCATGTGTGGCCACAAGTGCACAGCTTAAATTGGACCTAAGATGGCAGTTTCTCTTCCTTTACTGTTGCCGATGTTCAACGACCAATGATTAGTGTCGATTCCTTTTTCTGCTTGGTCTTCTAGTTGATGTTAGTCAACATTATCGCATTGAGAAAAAGTACTGCATCTGCTTTTGTAAATTCAACAGGGCTCAGTTTGGCATTGTCCGGTTTGGATTGTTATGCACAACTATTGAAAGTATTTCCCAAAAGCACCGAGTTCATTTTAACAAAGATCACTTAAATGTAGGCCTAAGACATTGACTCCTATCATCCTGGTGCAAACTCGTTCGGGCCGATTTCGCAAGTATCAGCTGACGATCTGTTACGAATTCTGTAATGGTTTCATGATAGCAAATGGTTACCATTAAATTTGAAACAAGCAAAATTGAGGCGAGTTTCTGTCATTTTACATTCGATTTTTGCTGATTTAATAATGAATACGTTGTAACCAATTTCTGTCGAAGTGCAAGTTTAATGTAGGCATTCGCTCATGTCTATTTGTTTGAATTAGCGGTCTTAGTCTTGAAGAAAAACAGTAACCTTAAGTCTATGTTAGGTTTGTGAGGAATAGTGAGCTTAACATGGAAGTACCTTTGGTGCTCCTATTTTTGTGGCAGGTATCAGCGTATAAAATTATGTTAGTCAACTGAAACAAGAACGTTTAGAGCCAGGTTGTGGAAATAGTCAAATTTATTGCGGATACTTTGATATTTTTCGACTGCGTCTGAACATGTTAACAGTTCACCTGTGGATTGGTGTTCTTTGACAAAAACCTACATTGTGGACTTCTCTTTTGTCAAACAGATTTTGCACTAATACCACAAAGTACATGACCCTTGAGATATTTAAATTCAATTGCAAATTTATTGTAGCATTTTTTGAAGATTCCTTAAAGGTTATGGTTGGTTTGGGGTCACATTTGTTAAGTTGATTCTCCCCTAGGTTCGTACTTTTATGTTTGCACAAAATTGTGATATGCAAAATGCTGGGTGTAAAATCAATAAATCCACAACCGTGATAAGGGATCATTGAGGGTTCAGCCACAGCCTCTCTAAAGTGGTCCATAAAAACACCACTATAAAACCTTCTGAATTGTGTCGCCTAAACATAGTGTTGATCAATAGGGTTTTTGTATTTACTGCATCAGATACTATGACTACCATTCCGAATTCAAGTATTTGGTGTGAACAAACAGCACTATTAGATATTTAGACACGCTAAATGTCACTCTTTTCTCAACTTATTAAATGACCGCTTTTCAGTGGACAAATGTGATCGCCCTTGGATCGGTGGCGTGCGGACTGCTGATGATTCTCCTCTGTGCTGTCATCCCGTGCTGTTTGCGAATTAGAGCACGCAAAAAGAGGTATTAGTCGATCAGCTTTGACTGTTTAATTGATTATGGTTGTTAAACTGTTAACAAATAATAGTGACACCATTTTGAAAAAAAATTGAGAACATCATTAACAGGAATTGTACATAACCACAGATGGTTAATTAAGAGCCGTTTAGAATGGAACTAATGCATCACCTTAGTTTCACCAAGCTGTCAAATGAAAAGCACTCACTTGATCACCGTGAAACTCTTGCTGTATATCGATTAATTCCTTTAGTTCACGTCTAAATTGTCTGATTATTGGAAATTTGTTATTCGCATCAGTGTACTAATTTTGCACTGTACTTCACGTATATTTAAAAGCTTGAGTTTGTAAGATATTTGCCGGCCCGAAATAGGCAGCTAAACCCCATTTTTTCTCCCTATTGTCAACTACCTGCGCTGCTTATAGCCTAAAAGTACCGGTAGTAAAAAAAACGTTCGGAGGCAACAATAGCAATAGCACGTCATGCAGCGAGCATTTATCTCCTAGAGTTTAAAGGTTACTGATGTCTGGACATTAGGTCTCTGTGCGTTTTAGTATCTATGCTTAAGCCGATTTGTGGTCTAACTTTGCGGGCAAAAAGAGAAGAGAAATTACTTCAAAATAGATGTCAATGCGTGAGGTAATGAGGAGGCATGTGGCTGGTCGATGTGTGTCACCCCCGATTTTGTTGTTTTGCAGCCTTTCACCTGCTTTTCAATTCATGTTTAGTACATCAATTTTAAAAAAAGGTTGTGTACATCTTAATTTCGATGAAACGTGAATCATTTAACTAACGAAACTTAATTATGAAAAGCAATTTTGGGAAAAGCTAAATAAAAGTGCAATTTATTCACATTAAACACAGTTACAAAATTTGACTCATAAATAAAGTCTGGTGAACTAAATAATAATTTCCAAAAGCCTATTAAAGTCACCACTTAAACAGATCCACACTGGTTATTTAAACGGATTTCTTTGTACACAACCTTAAAAGTCATTACGCCTTACTCACACAGAAAATCTCAACCTACTGTTGAGCCTCTCGTCTACCGCCATGGCAGTGCAAAGTACCCAGCAATGGAGAGTATCCCCTTTCACAATATATTCTACAACTCTATACTCGGGAACAGCTCAGTGGACACTCATGCTGCTGACAATACTCAACAATATTATGAATACTGCACTGTTACTACTCCATCAAACAAGGAAGAAAGCACATTCTTCTCCACCAGCGGCGAATACGAAATTTCCAATGAGGAGAGGCCACCACCAGAGCTTCCGGATCGCCCACAGAGTCTGGCTCCCCTGCCAAAACCTTCGCAGGCTCAAGAACCGTTAGCGGAAATCCCTCTACCTCAGGTCCACGATTCTGTTTCACTGGCACCGTTTGAATCAGCCTGCAGCTACCAACCTCTCCTGACCCCTCGAAACTCGACATTTATGCCTTCGCCATCGGAAGAATATGCCAAATCAAAATCGGATGCGCTTCCAACACGAGCTATCGGGAGCGGGGAGAGTACTCTCACTAAATGGCTGTATGCGTCAAAAAAGTGAAAACTACTGTCCTATCCCATGAAATCTTTGGAATTTATTTACTTTCCTAATTAATTTGCTTCGGCACTTTAGCTACGAGTAACCATTTTAACAACATTTATAGTGATCGCCACTGTGCTGGGCGTCAATAATACGCTGTGATTGATTTCTTTTTAAATAAATCAGGTCTGCTGATGATGTGCAGGAAATGAGTGCCACCCGTTAACAGAAAAGCGGGTCTAAGGAGAAGTGCGTGATTGGCAGATTCGCCGACAAAAATGCATTAGAAACATTCTTTTGAAGTGATTATCATTTTTCGTAATGCAAAAAAGTAGTACAAAGCATTTAACGTTAAACAAAATGGTGTATTTCTAAGGGTTACTTTGCTCTTGGCTTAGCTTCACTAAGCCAGAGTACATGGTAGCTTGATTGAATCTGGCACATACTTCGGTAGTTTCGTACATTTTAACTTAATTATATTCTTGTACAAAGAACAGATTAGGGAAAATGCAACGCGTCTGGCAAAAATTACAAGTCAAATTTCCTAAAATCTGGAAAAGCAAATAAGATATTATGGTTTAATAACCACTTCCTTTAATCTGTGTAATATTGCCTTCAGAATGATGAAATCAAGTCTCATTGTACAATTGTATTCAGGTAGGCTGGTTTTAATTTGAAAATAAAGGACAAATGTAATATCATGATATTGAATTGCGCTGGCTTTAATACGAGACCTAAGCATAGTGACCGTTTTACCTTCTCGACCCATCACAGACATTTTAATTTCTAATACTGATCGGCATCACTTCAAACACGATGCGGAATAGGACAAGCGTTTCTATGAAAGGTTCCCTTAAAGACATATCTTACCCATAGGTGACAGAAAATTAATCTACTGATACCTTTACAGAATGGGCTGTAGGAGGGTCGCACTACGTACCGCCATTAGCTATGACAAAGAGAACACCAAGAGCTAGAGAGGAGGATTAGTAGGGTGCAGTCAAATGTCAGACACAGCGGTGTCCAGTGTAAATACACGTACTTCTTAAACTAGGTCTTGCACGTCTTTACTTGCATGTGTATGGTCAAATCTTTGACATTGAGACGGCTAAATAAAGGTGAACTATTTAAGTCCCTTGTTTGTACCTCCTTAAACCAATTTGGTGGCTTCACCTGACATTAATTATCCATCTGGTTTGTACACTTGTCAGTGGGTCGAACATGAGAACACTACCACGCAACAGTAATAGCTTAAATATCTCAACACTCTCTAATTCATCTGAATCGACTTGTTCATCGAGGGTGAATCCTCAATTCTTTTTGGCTGACAGGAAGACTTAGCCGCCAACCACAGCAATTTGCGCACTTGACTTACGAACATAAGACACTATGTTTTCCTATGCTCGCAAAAGTGCGGAATCATTTCATTTTTGTGTAGCCAATTTCCAACTGAACTTGTTCATAAGACAACCAGCAATAAGAAAAGAATCACATCAAACTCTTTGTCAAAATATTAGAATGTAAATTTATTGCACAGTTTTTAAAACTGCTGTAACAACATTTTGGGTTAGATATTCTCGACAAACTCATTTTTAAAATGAGCCTTTTGTTATAGGAAAAAAACGCCACCCATGTACGTTGCTTAGCGGCACATTTCTAGGCTTATAACTCGTCTAGGACTCGCAAACACGGTTCCTGCAATACAATTAGTTAGACACTTCGCAAAAAATTCAGTAAATGTTAAAAAATTATAAACTTATCTTTCGAAACTGAATGAAATACCTTTCGTGAACGCGCTATTGCTGATCTAAGTTGCCCAGAATAATTGAATGGTGATTACAAGGCGATTAATGCTATCAATCAGAAACCCTAAACCAAGTCCTCATTTAAGCTGACACCTGCACCTTATGTTATTAAATTGACCGTGAAGCGACCGTAGTTGAAGTGAAATTTAGGTCAATTATATGTCGGATACCATAGTTCTTGAATTATCTAAAAATCATAAAACTGTAGTGGACAGACAGCCACCTGGGGTGAGTGATGCGTATTTGATGTACCAATGACTCATCCATTTTTTATTGACTCCTGTTAGCATTCGCCCGTTTCGCACGCGTGCTCTTGTGCACACAAAGCCACTCGCCTGGTGTGACAATGATAAAAATCGTGTTTTCTCACATCCTTTCCCCCCCTTCTCAGGTTGCAGCGGGCTGCTAACTAGAGGGTTGTAGGGTAGTGCTAAACCAAGCCACTACAAAACGATAGATGTTTGCGTCACGCTAACTACGTGATCACAAGTTGCACTAAGAACAGTCAACCAAATCGATAGATTCTTAGGAAGGTCCAGTCACTACTTTTAAACTTTACCATAACTTTAAAGTTTCACTAAATTGTTTTAAATTTACCTTACATTGTCGTGAAGTAACGGAATAAATATCTTCACATCTCGGAATTGTGTGTGAATGACGTTCATGAAATAAATTAAATTATATGTCACATTTGTATGAAAAAGTTTGGAATTAAAGCACTCAGTTTAGAATTCTCACTAGATGCAACCTTTACGACGACAAAAGAGAATGAACGTTTTTAGGATTGCCACTTAAGTGGTACTTGGCTTAGGTAATACAAATGTTAGTGAAGTAGGTAATTACTTGGGCTCATTAATTTATTCAAAACAAAAAGTGACATAATCACGATCCCTGATTGTTTACGTTGTAAATCGTCCACGGGGTCGTATTTCGCAACGCTGTTGCATAACATAAACTAGTGACGAAACTGGTTCTGTGATTTAGGCTAGAGTGCATGTTAATCTAGATTAAAGAACCAGAATACTATTGGTCACAGTTGACGTTCGACCCACTTTTATTGGTTCTCGAAATCTTTGTTTGTACGCCTCCGCTTTTGTCTGTTTATTTACAAGATCAGCTAAACATCGTCTGTGTTACCAGTCAGAGTTAGAGAATAACATGCTGCTTTTCATCGGACCTCTTCTTTTTTCTTGCCTGTGGATTTGTGAGTGTAAGGTAAGTCCAACAATTTATGGCGGATTCTTACATGTCACGGAACTAAAGTGGATGAAAAATAATGGGCTAAATTGGTGATAAAAATATCCTTTTTGTTTCTTGTCTCATTGTACACACTATATAAAGTTCTATAGAGTAAAGTTCATCCAGCACATATTAGATAATTTCTCCGTTAGAATGCGACTTAAGTCGAAGTCGATTTCTCTACTTCGGGTACTTAAACACAAAAGAAAATAATTTTTATGACATTCTATATTTTTGCGTTAAGTCACACCCACATTTCTTGTAAAAAGTTTATGAAATTGAAATTCAAAAAAGGGCACGTTTCTTTTGTATTAAAAAAGTTAATGTATGTTGACAATTTTTTTTAATTTAAAAACTTTCACCAAATCCTTTTTAATCTTTGGGTATTTCCATGGTGTCGATGGGTTTTTAAAAGGTATGCTGCCTTATTTACGATGATTGGAACCTTAGAGGGTTTATATGTGCATGTTAATTTCCACACTCCAAAAATATCTGGTTGAACCCGAAAATCTAATTACTTACCATAAGAGGCCTTTACAGACCAAGTAGTAAAAGATAAAATCGTATAAAATTATTAATATCGAAAGAGAATCAAATGGTACTCTCAATTGTACTTATTCATTTAATCACGTTTTTTTTCAAGTTTGTTGGGAAAGTTTTGAAAAAAAGATAAATTTAGCAGAGCATTAAATAAGCTGACACGACTTTAAACCTGTCCACTCCTTGACACAAACTGTTTGGACTTGAAAAGTTAACAAAACATCAGAGAGGAAAATTTAAAATAGCTGACTGTTGTATTCTCATCATCCACCCTGCAGATGTGTTAAATATTTACACATTTCTGGTACCAAAATTTCATTTTAATGAACTAAGCTAGCAAACAGCTTTAAAATCATCCTTTGGTTTTTTATAGAAAATCATGGTTTATAGTTTTTCATGCGGCAAAAAATCATTGCTCGCATAAGTTTGTTATAATATAAATTAGTTTATTGAAACCAGATACATCTCAGTTGTAAACCTAAAATATCACTTTGCGAACAGTTAGATGATCAAATTTGTAGAAACCAGAACGTTTTTAATGAACTTGATCAACAGTTGTCACACACACGACGAAATGCCAAACTAAATAACTCAATCACCTGCTGCTTCCTCCTTTCTCTTTGAACGACAGAGGGCATATTTAAACCACGAAATCTCTGCCTGTACTGCAGAGCATTCGCCAAAATTCCTCTATGAAAACGTAGAACGCATAATGGTAGGAAGTTAGCAAAGTGGCTGTTAATTTCTAACAACAGTCATTTTAAAACTATTCACCATATGCAAGTGTCGAAAAGGTTTCAAGTCAAATTTTATCTTCATTTTCCCTGAATTCAAAAAAAAATTAGTACAGGCAACATCATCGTAATGAAAAAATTGCTTCTCCAGCGCTAAACGCCTTTAAAGATAAGCACACTGACTAAACTCACTTCCCATCTTAAAGCTAATCTGTTTTGATATTGGTTTTTTTTGAAGTGTGTTTGTTTGCGGACAACCTACATAACTTTCCATCATACATATTACCAGTATCTAAAGTAAGCGCAAACAAATAAAGTCGATTTTCGCGGTATCCATAGTAAATGACGCACATTTTGATTTAAATTCGCTTTTAGTAATTCCTTTTGTAATGTTGGCAAATATCAATTCTGTAATTTCCTTATACATTCTCGATGATTACTTAATTTAAGTTTAGCTGGTTGGCCCTAACATTTTCAAAAATAGATTTTGGTCCTTTACTCACGAAACTGTGTCTTGCTTAAGTAGAAATGGTGCAAAACCAAAGAAATAATAATAATTAAAATATCCCATGATCATCAGAAACCTGTGGGTTCACATTTTCAAACAACATAGTTAAATTCGAATTCAAATTGGACGGTAATTTTGTGGATGATTTCACGTTGGATTTCTAATTCAGTGTCTGAACCACGTCTATCGAAGACC